TGTTGAAAAGCTATTCAGTTCTTGAAGAAGAGAAATTTGACCTAGTGAAAAATACAATGACTAAAGACAATAAATTCATTCAAACATTCAACAATCATACACTAATTATTCAGTTAAACATGGTTAGGTAATACATATATACTTCTCTTTTTATCTATAAAATCTTTATTCACATAAGAGGGTAAGTACTGATATCAATTATTTTTTTTTAATCTGAATTCATTTTTTTTAAATATAAAAATTATTCAAGCATTAAAAGCAGGGCTTTAAAATTCATAATTTTCTGACAAATTTCTACAAGCATTCCGAATTGAAATAATAATTTATATTTTCTTCAATATCTTCCTTCGATTTCTGTTAAGCTAATTAAAATATATTTCACCAATCATCATCTTCATAAAAATCATCTATGTTGTTATCATCATCAAAATCTCCAATGTGTATATCATTATCATATAAACTCGACTTCAGAGTGCTGTCCATATCATTACAATCATTAACTGTAGAAATCTGAGAGCAGGAATCATCCCCTTCCATGGTTTCAACATCTCTTTCATTCAATCTTTCAACCCTTGCCCTGTAAAAGCAGCAAAAGATACCAATCAGATTTATGTACAGGTTTATTTATACAATGATGAAAATATCTTTCTTCCTATCTGCGAGATGTATAGGTTAGAAATTGCTGCATAGTAGCTAATATAAATACCAACTTATTGAATAATTTATAATTTTATATTTAAAAAAAAAATCATTCAAAAATAGAACCTTAAAGTGAGCAAGCAAAAATTCACAACATCTAAGTGTGATTATCTACAATTACATACAATCAGTATATTGAACTTACATTGATAACTTGAAAAATAATGCTATAACGATGATGATGATTTATAACATTTGTTTCGTACGTGTTGATATTCTCACTTTTTGTTTGTTAGAACCTATTATATAATTATTAACATTATTTTACAGTGTTTTTATAGAAGCCTTGTTTACTGACCTTGTTGATGTTGAAAAGCTATTCAGTTCTTGAAGAAGAGAAATTTGACCTAGTGAAAAATACAATGACTAAAGACAATAAATTCATTCAAACATTCAACAATCATACACTAATTATTCAGTTAAACATGGTTAGGTAATACATATATACTTCTCTTTTTATCTATAAAATCTTTATTCACATAAGAGGGTAAGTACTGATATCAATTATTTTTTTTTAATCTGAATTCATTTTTTTTAAATATAAAAATTATTCAAGCATTAAATATTGGCATACTGCTAAAATAGCCTGACAATATGTTTAGGATGTTGAGTTTAAAATTATATCAGTATCACAAAAATTCAGTAATATACAAAAAAACAACTAGTCTATTGGTCTAATAAATTATATATATTTTTATTGATCTATAAATCCTTGTTATAAGCATAATTAATCTTATCAACATAATTTATAAATATATATTATAAATATATATTAATTGATAAAGTTGTGATGGTATACCTTTGTTATTCAATGGCGAATTAATGCGGCTTAAATATGGTAATAGTTGTGTGTGTAATGCTACTGGTGTCCAGCAATGACCAATAAATAATGCTTTCGCTGATAACGTATTCTCACGGCACTGGAAAAACAACAGAAAACAGTGCTAAATACAATCAGGTCCAAAATTTTCTCACAAAATAAAACCATAAAGTCAATGCACCCATAGCTAAGCAAGTCCAAATTACACAATGTATTGTTTACATATCAGTATCATTACAATCATTATCATAAACTTTACAAGGTACAAGTGTGTCTACCTGTTTGGCAACCTGCCACCATTGTGGCTTATGTAGAGTTTTCCATCCCATGCCACTTGTAGCTGTACTGTGTCGACTCTTGGATGAGTTACAATGTATTAAACCTCTTGTTGATATACAACTGCTATACTCCGATAAAATACTACGATGCTAGAAAGAGTGGAGTCAGAATTACTATGATATTTATGGATATTTATTTAAATTATAGAATCATATTTAATATACTATATTAAATAAACTTTCATAAATATACATGCCTGTTTCATTTTTCAACATTTTATTTTCACCACGATTTTATAACAATCACAAATTATGTTTTGTTCCACATTGCTTTTTACTGATAATTCATAAAACTATTATAGTAGAAAATAAGCCATAATTTTGATACTAAATAACATTTTCATATTATTTTTCAATTATGTAGGCAAAACATTTAGTAGAGTACTAATAAATCGTAAGATAAAAGTAAAATATTTTTTTCTGATATTTGCTACTTACTGAAAAATTAGAAGAAATTAGATCTGCATCACTTAGATACTCACTCCCTCGTACTACATCATCCACTCGAGTGTAAAACTCAAGATAGTTCTGATGCAAGTAGAGGTTGAACATATCACTACTTATTTGAGTTTGACAAATAACATCCTGAAAAAATACAGTGAAGATGAAAGACAAAATATCACAATGACAACTACTGTACGAAATATTAAATGATGCTGTAGCCCATGGCTATTGAATGTGCTTACTTTCTAATCCCAAGGTATAATATAGCGGTCAAATCTAATTTTATGTGATTTTTTTAGCTGTTATGGTAAAAGTACAAAAAACAAATGTATTGTACAAAAAGAAATAGATACAGTTTTTTTTTTGTGTATTTATTTTTTTTAAATCATTGTTGCAATTACTATTTCCATCCTCGATGTATTTTGTCATTTGTAATTTTTTATTTTTCTCTATAAAAGTATTAACATATGTAATTATCCCTAGTTGAGAAGTTTATAATAAAAGCCCTATCGTCTTATGTGTTATTATAATTTGTGTTTTTTATTGTTGGTTAAATAAATTAAATTAAATTAATAACGATAGTACTAATGACCACAATGCTATTTGGAATAAGGAGGCTCACTGATGTAAACATAGCCACCAGGCTTCACACAATCAAAACAATTTGCCAATTTTTTAACATTTTTTATTATTAAAAAGGATCAACATTTACGAAGGCCTTCATTTGACAATTGACATTAGTCACCCACTGGTGAATCATAGACTGTAGGTAGGCCTATTTATCTATGATAAAATATATTAACTACGGTAAACAAATATTTACCTCTGGGTTAAATTTCAAGTTATCTCTGTCATGATGTTGTAAATGAGGTGGTATATGTTGCTTATCTGCATCAATCTTCGGTTCAACTCCTACATCAAAAGAAAAAAAACAGTCATATGCCTACATGTTAAACATGTATATAAATAGATACCAATTTAGAAATACATATTTTGATTACTGAACTGTTTGTTTTGCAAACCCTGTGCAAAATAAACATGTTTACTACATACGACAAAGCTTCAAGAAACCTACCATCACATACACTTCAAAGCAATGGCATTAATTTACACGGAATTTGCGAATGAGTAAAAACAAACAATGACATTTTCAAGAAAATCACTTTAGTCTTTGCTGAAGAGAAAAATTTAAGGAATTATAGATTGTAGGCAAACTAAAATTAGAAGATGATTGAATTATAAAGCAATTGTTATACTGTAGTTGAATCATTGTGCAATAATTTCATTTACGAGTTAATTGTGACATCATCATTAATGCCAATGTTATTTTCCTATCCTAAACTGTGCACTAATTTTTCAGTAGTGCATAGTTTGTTTTTATGTTTTTTCGCTTTATGTGCAAAAGTTAAAAACAACTTCTACAGTATGTTTTGCGCACCGCGATGAATTCTAGGATAGTGTTTTTAGCAGGGGCGGCACAAGGATTTGCCCGATGTGGGTACCAAGATCCCCGACAGTGTGCCGATGTCCCTGAAGAGAGCAAAGAGGCATGGTCAGGCCTTGTTCAAAATGTTTGAAAAGTGATCCAGGGGAAATTATGACAATTCAGGGGTTTCAGTGGCTCATTTAATCAATCTACTAATATGTAGATAATACATATAATTTTTTTTCTCCCCTGGTGTTTAGACCTATAACTACAACACGCGCCTGTGGAAAGAGAGGGCAGACACCCAATTCTCATCTAGCATATGGTACCGGGTATATAATTGCTTATTACTCTATGTGATGATGTGTAATGCAAATGTCAATGAAAATATTATAGAAAAGAAAAATAAAAATATATTAATTTAAAACTTGGATTTATTTTATTTATTTTCATTTTTTTAGAAATATACAGGGATGACATTCTGTATCTACAGTATACATTAATGTATATTTTGGAAAAATATTCTTTCTTTGGAAATTTTGAATAAATGGTTTTAAACTGGGTATTTAATGTTCTTAAAAATAATTCTTCAATGATGAGTTCCTAAATTTGTACTCGTAGATAATATGACATCTAATATGTGCAATTTACACAGAATACTTATTAACAACTACTCACTTTTACAGTAAAGGATTTTCCCCAGTGCTCTAAATAGAAACATGGACGTATCCCTGCCCCCTATTGCCACTAGATCCTT